TAGACGCTCCCCGCTATCGGTTTCCTACACATGTGTGTTCGCACAGCTCTTCCACGGTTTAGTGTTCGTGGATAATTGATCTCGTACCCTAAAACCTCTTGTTTGGCATCTTGTGCCGAACATCATCTTGTGCCGAACATCTACCTTGTGCTGCCATTATATTCCCTGCAAGAGTACCGCCCCAACCCCCCCCCCAATACAAGAATGACCCACGAGGTTCCCAGTCGAGAGTTGGTGACTTGCTCGCGGGGACGACGCTAGAGGATGTGGCCGATATTGTCATGGTTGATGTAGTACCGGTTTCCACATAAACCGCAGACAGATGTCTCCCTGATGTCATATACGAGGAGTATTGCCCTTTTTTCTCAGGGTTTTTCCGATGATGCGCCAGAATGTGTGATGCTTGCACGCTAGCGGCGTCTTTGCCGCAGACATCCTACTGCTGCAACCCGTTACTTGCAATGGGGCTCTTCATTGCTCGGGGTGTACGGGAACGCGTGGGTGTTGCCCAGGAGTCTAAAGTGTTCCCCTTGATGCGCAGATGTGTTTTGCGTTTCCTGCGAACGCTGTTGCTTCGGAATGCCTGGCTCTCGTGGGTATTATTATGTGTTGTTAGTTTATCCAAACAAGAACTCTCGACTCCGGTGAGAGACGAAGGACGCAGACGCCATCGTCACGTCCTGTTGCTGGGTGTGCTTCGCCGGCCCTTACTAGTTGCTGTCTGAGGAGGTGTTGTCGCAGGTAGCAGACGATTTGACCGGAACATGAAGTATCAATAAACAGGAATCGAGCTTCCTTCCTGTTGAGGATCCATACCCCCTGCCTCCAAGACATTCCCGGCCGTTCCTTTACCCCAACACATTTCTTTCGCCCCGATGGATGATCAACAATTGTTTTGATGCCAACGGGTCATGGCGTGCGAAGTATGACCGGGTGGTTTACAAGGGCTTCCGTCGAAGTTTATGTGTCGCAGTCCACGAATACCTGGCCTTCACACTAACGTCCTACCTTCACCACAGGTGTTTGTGCGGGGGGGTCTGCTCCTGTGGGTCGGGGACGGGCCAGGTCGGGCTAAAGTGCTCGGCTCTAAAGCATGCAACAACTTGTCGAGGTTCCCGTGTCCGTACTGCATGGTTGAGCAACGCGACAACATTACCGGCGGGGACCTTGGAGATGCCCAGTACGACATCGAAGTAAATCGACGTATCTGGGGCCAGATTACGGCCGGGTTCGATACGCTCAAGTCCCTCGCAGACAACCCCATCGAGCAGTCTCGACAATCGATGGTACTGGGGCTTGTGACAGACTCCATCGCCCCCTCCCTGCCCATGTACGACTCAATGCTCACCGCCCCCACCGCGGTTGTCCCTGTGGAGCGGCTGCACTTCGATGCCCTGGTGAGAGTTTTCTATCGAATGCGGAACGGACAAGGGTAGCGCAATGTTTGCCGTGCCGGAAATAGGTAACCTCGTTTAAACACCCCAATGTCCGTTCGCGATTGATTTAGGAATCTCCGGGTGTTTGTTGCCAGGGCGTTGTGTCGTGTCTCCCTCGAGTAGTTGGGCCTCCAATGGCGACACGGTTGATCGTGTCTCTTTCAAACGATAAATACAACGCACGAACCGTGTGTGTTATTTTTGTTTTGCAGGGGTCCTGCCAGCTGTGCCAAGTTTCCTGCCTCGAGATGTTGTCAACTCAGGTTCGACGGCTGGTCTCG